AAAATGTATGGTGTCCAAAAATTCTTTGAGGGCAAAGCTCTCAAAGAATGCTCTCCGCAGGAGCATTGGCTTCTTCATATGAAAGAAGGAAAATTTTTTTTAGCAATGTTATAACATTATATATATATATTGATATATAAATATTTTTTTTAATTTGTATCACCATTAAAGGTCACGTGATATAAAAATTTATTGCATTTTTGAGCATAACTTACAATTCTGAGTTTTGATGATTTTTCCCAAAATTGGCCATGAGGCGCACCAAGTTGCGGGACTAGGTGACTTGCACCATAGCTTATATTAAAAAGTCAAAAATTGTAGCCTAAATTGGCATCATTATTCTAAGTAAACTTGTTAATTAGAACATATATGATTACATATCTTATTTTTGGGCCTGGTTTTAAATGATGAAATTTTTTACTAATCACAACTTTTCAAAAATCCAAAAATTAATTTTTTTAAAAAAATACATTTATTTCGGTACTAGTAAAACTTCAACAAAAGAAATTAATTTATTAAAAATGAATATTTATACATAAATTTTATGGCCTTTTCCATCTAAAGTCAAAAAAAAAATGGAAGTCAGTTGGTAATTTTTTTGTTTATTAGGGGTCTACATTTTTTTAAAAATTGCGGCCAAATCTGGCCGCAATTTCTGTTTGTTTAAGGGATAGTCTATTCCAAGTCGTTTTGAGTTTATATAAACTCAAAACGACTAAGGGGTTAATAATTTATATGATATGGGAGCAATTAAAATGGATAAAGAAGAACCCTTTGGCTCAGATCAAATCAAGAATAATATAAATAAGTTGAAGGATAAACTTAAAAAAGAATCTATGCCCCTTTATCAAAAGTTATATTCTGTGGTGGATGCCTTGTCTATTAATGAATTAACTTGGAAAGTCCCTTTAACAAGCCAAGTTACCAGTAATAAATCAGAACTTGTGGAGAGATTGAATGTAAATCTAAAAAAGGCATTTCAGGTATATTTATTTATCTTGATTATCTACAAGTCAAGAAGTGAACTATTTCAGCTATATAAATGCCTCATTACCCCATAACAGACTCTGTACTTATATATTTATTGGAGCTAATACATTTGTATTAAATTAATATAATTATAATATTAGAAACCCACTCAGCAAATGAAACCTGCTTCCATACCAAAAATTAGAAAAATGTGCAAGGAATTTATATCAAGTTTTGTTAATCGCATTTATCAGAATATAGTACTGGAAAAATTAATACATAATGGATCTTTGGAAAGAATCAGAAGAAAAACTTTCTAATATTGTGAAAGAGGTTTTTGTTGTTCTGGAAGATATTTGGATTAATCCTGTATTTAATTATGATCTTGCAAAATTGTTAAATGAAGGAACCTATTGTCATCCATTATGTTCTTCTAATAATTCTAGGAAAATTAATAATGTATTTGCCATACAATATCTTGCTCTGTAATTATCAACTATCCAATTCCAAAAGATTAAAAATTCAGGTGGAAGGTTCTGTTGTAATGAATAACAATCAGTGCAAGATAAGTCCTGATGAAGATGTGATATTGATACTAAGTGTGGGTGACTCCCATGTATTCTCTGGTGCTCTCAAGTAAATCTTTCTAAGGTTCTTAAACTTGTTCCAGTATATTCTGAACTTTCAGTAAGACTGTGAACTGCATTTCAGATTTTTAGCTTAAAGTTTTCTTTGTTTTCAGTTAATTGCTTTTTCAATAATTCTATTTCATTTATTAGTGCTTTATTTGTTTGTTGTTGTTTGTTTATAATTTTTACCATTTTTGTCCCTTTTTTTTATTTATTCTTTTAATATATTTATATCCTTTTTATAAGGTATGTTAAGTATAGTGCAAGTCACTTAGTCTCACAACTTTCTGCACCACACCGCCAATTTTGGGAAAAATTCCCAATCAAAAATGCAATAAAAATTTTATGGTCACATGATTTTTGTTTGTTGTAAAATTCTTTTTTGATTCATGTCTGGGAAATTCACGTGATAAAAGATCAGCAATATAAAAAAAAATTTTTATTTTTATTTTCTTTCAATTCGCCTATTTTTGATATTAACTTTTTTGTGTGTAACACGCCATTTCAGGGCTAAAACATAGTAAATTCGG